TGAAATATATTGTCTGTCTGCATGAATCTACTAAATTTTACTGTTTTCTTTTATATCATAATGGAAAAATTATCATCTTAGAAAAACATTTTACATTCTTGCAGGTTCTGGAAGCGACATATAACTATTCTAATGCTGGTTCTGCTTTTTAACTCAACACTTTCCCACAGCCTCTTCATGTTTTCGATAAACGTTAAATGTTCCACTTTTATGCCAAATAAAATTCCCCCCTGATGGCGAATTGAATTTATGTCATGTAATAAAAATGCAATTAACACTCGAACACCACAATTCGCCACCTCAATTAAAATGTATACTCGTATGTAAAAGTTGTATCGTGGCCGACATAACGATAAACTGTCGCTTAAATCAATTATCGTCATATTTTATGCCGTTAGTTGGTTTGTCTGTTTGTCGGTCGGTTGGGCGGTCGATACCAATGCCGATGTAACACATGCATCGTATCCCATTCAGTGCATCCCATATTTCAGCCCAACGACCATAATATTCGACATTTATTGTAAATTGTTTAAGAATTATTGCCCGAATGTTAAAAACCAATTAATAATGGTTTTGTTGTTTGTAAACAAGCGATTTGGAAGCCACAAACAGCAGCAACAACAACCAAGAAAATGAAATAGAATAGAATTGCCTAATAAATTAGTCAATTAACAATAATAACAATAACATTAATGATGATACAGTGTTGTTGGGCTTCTCGTTGGAATATATATCTACGTATATATTTTTTGAAATCTACATACATATTTTTATAATTTTTAAACATTTGGAAAAGCTTTTTAGGCAACTGCTAGCAGAAAATTTAATTCATAGGTATATAGAAGAAAAAAAATTCACAAATTATGACAATTATAGTAGATAGACCATGACTGGATAAGTGGAGTTGGGTATTTTGAAAAAATTATTTGGCATACAATTTTTGTCACCTAGAATTTAATTTCATACAAAATGTAGAAAGTTGGGTATATTTAGTGGATTTCTGTAACTAATTAGCGACAAAAATAACGAAAATTATCTATAAACGTTGGCTTATAATTTTGACAATTAAAATTTTCGACAATATAAACACAGCTATTAAATAATAATATTCAAACACAGGTTATAATTTCAATCACTTCACTTGTACTAATAGTCCCACTTTTTTCATGTAGACATTTATAACAAATATATCCCAATATTAATTAAACGACTACAACTAATTATTTCTCGCAAGACTCATTCTCCCACCAATACCCCCGTCTAACGTATACGTAATATATATAATAATTATATATGTACACATATTACGTATACGCCAACAATAGGCGCTAAATTTGGTCACGGCAAAAAATCGTAAAATTTGATTTGTAAATACTTATTTGTTTGGTATAATTAGATTTTTTATTGTTTTTGCCGTTAAACTTGTGTGTGTTGAGAGTTTTTGTTTTTCTGGTTGTTGCCCGGTGACAATGAACTTTAGACATTGTTATGGTTTGGAAATTATTATTAATTTTAATAGCCATAGAGTAACTTCGTGTAATGTGGACCACCATTTTCTCTTTTTGATATTGCGGGCGTAACAACGGTAAAAAATAAAAACAAATTGTTTTCACAACATAGTAGATTTGTTGGCTAAATATATTCCAGGTTAAATAATATTTATATTTATCTATAAAAATGTTATTGCATTATATTTCAAAAAACTCTAAACTGCGAATAAAAATTACTTGGCGGTTAATGTGGACCAGTATATGTGGGTAATGAGGATCAGCAAGTTAAAGGTATGTTGTAGATTGGTTGTGATAAATTTCAATGTATTGCACTCTTGGGTAACAATGAATGTAAATATATATGGGTTTATGTTTTGGAATAGTCCCCATAGTCCCAATATTTTGAAGGTCCTTGCTTCATTATCCAAACGAAGCACCTGTAATTTCGCATATCGAGTTTTCAGAGGATAGAATACCTACTCGCATATTAAATGCGCCCATGTTTCGAACTCGTCCTCATAAAAAGGTCCCAATTTTTATAGTGGTCCACATTACCCGACATTGAATATTTTTATTTAAAAATAATTATCGGCTTCAAAAATGATTAAAAATCACCGATTGTAATTACAGCTAAAACGTAGATTTTTGTTAAAGAAAACAAGAAAACCACATAAGTTCTTTATATTCGAGAAAAAACAAGTGTTCGACTATTTTGCAAAAACGTTCGACTATTGTACTAAAAAAAATTTCAAATCACACTTTCACAATCAGAGCTACATTTTCTACTACTAAATTTTCAACATTGCAATTATTTATTAAAAACCAAGTTTGATGTTTGTTTTCACTAATTAGGAAAACATTTATCAAGGCGGCATTGACATATTTCAAGCATTTTCTTAGATATGGGGGGGTGGTCCACATTAGACGCCTGGTCCACATTACCCGAAGTTACTCTATACAATTTGTAATTTGCATTTCGAAACACTAAAATAACAGCTAAAACCACTGTTGTAGAAAAGCGAAATTTGTTTTTAGAAAATTGAAATTTTGAATATACATATTTGAAATGTACCAATACTCAAAAAGTGATTCTACTTTTCAAATTTAAAAATAGAAAATCGAAAAAAATTTCGATGAATAGAGAATTCTTACAGGATAATACAAAAATTACGGATGTTGATTATATATACATGTACCCAGTACCCTGCACAATTTTTCGAAAGCGGAAATTCACGTAAAATTCGTACTTATGGCTTATGACAGAACATTTGTTCCATAAGCCGAGCTTTAAAAAGATTTCCAAGCGCGTCGGTCTTGTGCGCAGCTCTTCCAATTTGAAATATCATTTGGCTGGCTTTTATATGCCTTTTGAGTTGGGGCATACTCATTCATTCTCACAACATGACCTAGCCAACGTAGTCGCAGCTGCTCGATACGTCTGACTATGTCGATATCCGAGAATAGATGGTACAACTCATGGTTCATTCGACAGCAGATCGGCCCATAGATCTTTCGGAGAATTTTTCTCAGAAACACTCCAAGAGCTGTCTCATCTGGTTGCGCAAGTACCCATGGTTCCGATCCATACATCAGCACGGGTAGTATCAGCGTCTTGTAGAGTGTGAATTTTGTCTGGCGAGAGGCCCTGTTCCTAAATTGCTTACTCATACCATAGTAGCATCTTTTGGCCAACACTATCCATCTGCGAATTTCAAAACTAATGTCACTAGTGGTGGTACAAAGGTATATAAAATCGTTCACTACCACGATGCTGTAGTTCTCAAGTCCCACAGTTGATCCGAGTCTACTGAACGTCTTGCGCGTTGATACCATCAGCTTGGTCTTCTCGCCGTTTACAGTCAGATCCACTTTGGCAGACTCCTTCTCAACTTCTTCAAAGGTGGCTGTTACCACTCGCAAAGTTTGACCCATTATGACGATTAACATGTGTTGTTTGCTGTACCGAATTTCATTTCTGTTCACCTTTGCCTCTCATATGACATTTTCCAGCAGGATGCTAGAAAGGTTACACGACAAGCTGTCAACTTGTCTGAATCCTCGTTCGGTATTAAAATGCTCCGAGAGGTCCTTTCCGACATTAATTGCTGATCTTGTGCCACTTAAAGATATCCTGCATAGCCGTATTAATTTTGCAGGAATGCCGAACGCAGACATGGCTTTAAACACCTCTGAACGGATAGCGCTGTCGAATGCGGCTTTATAGTCGACGGGTAGGTGGTATGTGTCGATGTGTTTTCGTGGGTGTTTTCCAGGATTTGACGCAGAGTGAAAATCTGGTCAATGGCCAGGCCTGAAGCCGCATTATTATGGTCCAATAATGTCATTGAACGTTGGCTTCAGTTGTTCACACAGCACACTGGATAGCACTTTATATGCAATGGGAAGATGACTAATTCCTCTATAGTTGGCATATATCGTCTTATCCACTTTTTTGTGCACGTGGCACAGGATGCTGAGGTTCCAATCATTGGGCATGTCAAATTGTACTAATCAGCTGGCATGCTCCTGACCAGCATCTAACCACCAGTCTTGAATAGTTCGGCTTGTAACCGATCGGCTTCTGTTGCTTTATTGTTCTTCAGCCGATTAATTGTTATTCTAGCCTCATTTTGGCTAGGTGGTATACACTTTATACCGTTATCTCTTATTGGTTCTGGGGTATCTTCTTCGCTGCCACTATTTGATACCAGAAGCTTTTCAAAATGCTCCTTCCAGATCCTCAAAACATTGCCTGTGTCTGTCACCAGGTTTCCTTATCCATGTCAAACGTCTAATACACTGTATGAATTCCTTCCGTCCATCACAACATGATCAACTTGATTTTTGTTGCTTGATCAGAGGAAATGCAGGTAGTCCTGTGTATATCGAGATGCGGGAATCTGGTGCTGTTAACTACCATGTTTTTTGCTGCCGCGAAGTCAATCAACCTCATGCCGTTGTCGGATGTTTCCTCATGGAGGCCGAATTTTCCGATGGTGGGACCAAAAATATTTTCCCTTCCGATTTTTGCATTAAAACTTTCTAGCAGAATTTTAATGTCATGGCCAGAGAACCGGTCATATGCAGTTTCTAAACGCTTGTAAAAAATGTCTTTGGTATGTTCATCTTTATCTTCTGTCGGAGCATGGGCGCAGCCCATTTATTTATAGTTCTTATGGGTGACCTCGCGGCGTAGTGTCCGTGTCCACAATTGAGATGAAAGAGGGACCAAGGTAAGCCTGGGCTTTCCATGTTAAAGCCAATCAGAGCCTTTGCTTGGTATCTATCATCCCAGATGTCTCCCAAGATTCTACATCTTTGGAGGCTTTAATCATTTGACTTTAACCTCAAAATTAACCAGATTTCAAACAAACAAGTCTCCGTCCGACCGACTTCATAGGCACAATAGTATAGAGATTCTAACCATATAACTATTTAATAGGAAAACTATATATATATACTAAAAATGTATCTTCTCTATTTGCAGTTCTCATCAAATTCTTTATTAAAATGGAGTACAAACTAATAACAGAAGATCGTTACGACGATGTCATACGACATTTAAGGGATAATTTCTTTGCCGACGAGCCATTGAATAAAGCAGCTGGTCTCTGTCGACGTGGCTATGGTCATCGTGATTTGGAACATCACAGCTTGGAAACATTGGAGGATAATTTAAGTTTAATGGCTGTCACAGATAACAATGAGGTAATTAAAAAATAATTTTAAATCAAATTAAATAAATTTATTTTCAAAACGAAAATCTAACAGATTGCTGGGGTCATATTAAATGGTATTTTACATCCGGGAGATATTGAGACATCACAAAAGAAATTGGAATTGAACGATGATGAAAAGTTTAAGAAAATATTTCGACTTTTGTACACAATAAACCTAAAAGATGATATCTTTCAAAAATTCAATGTAGATAAGGCATTTGATGTTCGCATACTATCAGTGGATAGCCAATATCGGGGACAGGGTATAGCCAAGCATTTGGTGAGACACAGTCAAGACATAGCCAAAGAATGTGGATTTAAGGTAAGCTGTAATCTAAATTTAGATTTCAACAAATATAATATTCCTTTTTTGATTTCTCTTCTCCACAAATAGCTAATGAAAGCTGATGCCACCGGAATTTTCTCCCAAAAAATATTAAAATCAAATGGTTTTGAGGTACTATTGGAACAATATTACAATAAATATGTTGATGAATTTGGTCAGCCGATTTTGAATGTGGAATCACCACATATTAAATTACAATTACTTTATAAACTATTGGAATAAGGAATTTATTTTGTAAAAGGTGTAATTTAGCCCCAAAACAAGCAAAAGCATTTTTATATGTTTGAATGTTTCCTATGTGAAGACAAATCCCCGATGCCAAAAAATAAACGCTACTATTTTATACATAAAAAACAAGAGCAAATAAATATATTTCTATACTAAGATACAATATTTAATGTTATTATAATAACCAACGTCCATAACCACACACAAAAAACGTTTTTTGTTTTTAGTCATAAGACAATAATTGGCAAATACAAAATAACAATCAAACATTACCACTAAAATACTGTAATTGTGTACTTACATATTTAAGAACAAGAATAAATATACATATAAATAAAAATAAAATATGAAATATATTTTTAAAAATATGTATTAATATATTAAAACAAAACAGGTATCGTTTCAATACATAAATGTGAGTTAATAAGTTATTTATTTATGCCATAAGAATATTTTATATGTATGTACGTGTTTTAGACAAAAATATATTGGAATGTAAAACTAAATATATATTAAAATAAAATATAATCGAAAATAAACACATCGCAGTTTTCATTATTTATTTCGATTAATTACTTTCGGAAAAGAAAATCGCTTTTTCGCATTTCACAAAATATTTCTAGCAATTCACCACACCCTTTTTTCCAATTGGCCGTCTTGTCTTTGATCTTGTCATGGAAAACATGTCCAAATCCAAAACCTTGATCTGGTTGCCTAACAACTAGAGAATGTGATTTTCAAGATATTAGTCCATTTCAATACTGATTAATACTGGGAGTCTAAAGGTTCCCAGTACCTTTTATTGAATCTATATTTTCTCCTTGTCTCAGGGGAAATGCAAGAACTTTGTTTTTGTATTTTCATTATCGGGTTCTGCATCAATCTCCAAGTTGAAAAATGCGACTACCTCACTCTAGATATAACCAAGCAAATACTGCAATGAAAAATTCCATTTGAAGTTCATAACATTTGATTAGAAATAAATAACATTTCATTTGTTATTCATAACATTTAATTTTAATGTTATGAATTACAACTGAAAGTTATGAATTACAAGTGAAATGTTATAAATTTCAAATTGAATTCTCTGAATTGTAAATTAATTTTTTAAGGGTCCCACACACTATACATCATGAACCCCTTTGTATATGTGTAATTAAATTCGTTTTTTCAAAAGTCATAAATTCGTAAAGGGGTATACTATGCACAAGAAAATCTTCGCCTCCTTATTAAAATATTCCACAGGTGTTATTATGGTGCACCGTTCTAACAACTCTGAATAGTTTTCCACCAAGGTTTCGGGCTTAACTGGTACACAATAGTTCCGATTCCTAAATTATTAATATTCCCAATAAAAAATAAATATGTTAAGAAACCCCGACCCCTCACATTTGCATAAATTGTATTGCCCAATATTAATATTTAAAAAGTATGACTAGATTCAATCCCTCCCTTTTACATTAATTTTAGTTCTATTATTATTAATTGGGTACTAACAAACCGAAATTGTATAAATAATATTTTTAAATTTTATATATTTATATTATAATATTGTTTGAGCAGTTTAACAACCCTTTTTGAATATAATTAATTAAATTGGTCAAAATAAATTTTATATTGTTATTTTTTTACTTAATTTACATTTAACATTTTACTTGATTTATTATACATAGTAATTATTATTTTGAGTAGTTTATCAACAAGCGTACTTGACCAGTTTTCGCTTTGTGCTCCACACTATTGGTACTGTCCTATGACAGTGATATTGGTGTTACTTTCATAATCAGACTTGCAATATCCCAGAATGTTGGGAACACTTCCGGTTGAAGTTCGTAGTTTCCATTACACAGCAATTTCGAGAGGTGTTTTCAGTAATCCCCTGGAGGCCTTTAAATTAATTTTTTAACCTAACCGCTATTTCCTTAGCTTTTGCTTGAATTTGTGCGCACTTTAATGTTTATCCTTTAGGAGAAAATTAGCAGTTTCTCTAGTTGGAACTAAAAGTACCAAATTACAGTCAATTCAGTTATATGAGGTCTATTTTTTAATAAGAATTCAAAATTATAAATATTCTATGGAATTGAAAATGACGGACTCGTAATTTGCGAAAGTTATTTCAAAAAGATAACGATTGCAATTTTCAAATGATTGCGACATAATTCAAGTCATAATTCATCAGAGCGCATGTGCTGGCTGTGGGTGTCTGATGATGTTTTTCTATAGAAAAATCTAGTTTTGTTGATTTGTCATTTTTCTGTGTAGAGAAAAAAATACATTCGTATAGAGAAATGATTCGTCCCTCTAGCAGTTGAGTGGTAACTTCAACGACAACGTATGGCATACCAAAGCGTAACAAATGACACGTCCCAGACATATTTAACGTGTAAAATAAAATTTATATTGATTAAATCTCATGATTATTTAATTTAAATTTAAAATATATATGATTATTAATTTATTAAATTTTTTATTTGATTTTAATTAATTGTCTATACAACCATGTATCAAATGTTATCACTTCGCAGTGAATGACATTTCATTAGAAAAGGTCTTGTCTCTTCATTTTGTTTACAGAATAATTTTTGCCAATAAAGAAAAAAAATAGGATATTTTCCAGATTTTCCTCTATAGAATGCACATAAGACAGGTAAACTGATATTAGTTTCGGATTAATATGTTCGTTTGTTAAACAATCTGTTAATTACAGCTGGATTTAAAAACCTTAGTTCGTTCGGTGAAAGCAGCCTACTCATTCCAGGAATTGTTTGTTACATTGAAAGTAGTTTCGCCCTTTGAGGATTTTTGATTGCACCTGACTATTCATCAGACTCGTGTGGTTATCTTAGTCAACTATTCTAAATTTAGAGCAATAGTGTAATGGCATCGGCGAATTATAATGATATTGAAGATGCCATCAGCAAGTGGGCCCAAGAAATGAGGGATAAAAACATAATGATTACCGCCACAATGGCAAAGGAAAAGGCGGAGGAGATAGCTAGAGAAATGGGACAAGAATTTGTGCCCTCAGCTGAATGGTTGTTCAAGTGGCAAGAACGTGAGAATTATCAATTTGCAAAAAGACCAAGGGAATCTGAACAAATCGAAACGTCATACGGAACGGATGATATTTTGAAGGGATTGCTTGTAAGAAATGACTTACATCAGGAGAGCAATCAGTTACCGCAAAATAAAACGGAATCCGAAATTCAAATGCCAATAGGCTTGCAAAGATACAATGCTGAAGGCTATGTACATCACAATAATTCAATAGATTGTGACATTAAAGACAGTGATAAGTGCGAAATGCAGGAACCGCCAACATTTCCTGACGGTTCTATACCCTCCTCGGCAAAAAAAGTTCCATACAGCTATGAACCAGTTTATGTTCTCACCCGAACGGGAAGATATCGTAAAGAAAAAACTTTTCTTACACTACTTCAAAAATTGGAAATTTTACAACGTCTCAAGAACGGAGAAAAGAGAAATGATTTAGTTATCGAGTACAGACTATCACAATCGGCAATGTCACAAATTGTGAATGATGAAAAGAAGATACTCAAACTGGCAGCAATAGGCCAAAACTTGCAAATGAAACGTATACGAGGTGGTATCTTTAAAGGCGGGGAAGCCGAACTCAACACTTGGGTTTTGCAGAAAATCGATGAAGGTGAAACACTTACCCGCACTCAAATTAAGAATAAAGCTAAAGAAATTGCCGAACGTTTAAACATTGACTTTAAGGCATCCACCGGTTGGCTGGAGAAATGGAAAGTTCGAATGAACATGGACTTTAATGAAAATCATGTTCTACAGCGTAAAGTACCACTGTATGTACCCAACCCGGACGACAACCCTTATATGTCGAATGAGGCTCATATACCAGAGACCTGTTATGGTACCGATGATGATGAACAAATGGATGACGAATATGATCAAAGCAAACAAGATAGCAATTTTTCCTATGACCAAAACGACCACTCGTTTGACATTAAACCCCTGATTACTGGTCACGGGCATGTGTTGGAGGCAAACGAAGTCGAACCGGAAGATATAAAACCAATTATAAATTCAGCACTAATAAATAACACAGTTCCTGAACGCCAGCCACAAACCTCTTCATCCACACCATCCCCCGCCGGCACTCAAACACTGCACCAGAAAGTACTAAATTGGCTTAGTAAATATAATATAGGACCTACAGCTTCAATAGAATTGTTAACCATATTACTTCCCCTAATCACAGAAGAATCAAGTTCCGCAAAATAATTTTAACCTGAAAGGTAGACTCCCAATATCTCAAAAAACAAACTTCGGCATCGTCCGTCGACCATTCGATTTAGTTTAATTTTACTGTACTTTATATTAAAGTAATCATAATTAATTATATTATTGTTTAACGATTAAGAAACAACCAAAAAATAAAATAACTTTAACATTTCAATTCTTTTGCTGTGTCCTGCTGTTCAGTTCGGGTTGATGCCCCTTCTTCCAAAAGTTGTTTTTGTCTTTCGGGCCGGACAACGGTGTAGTATCTCCAGCCTCTCATGCCAAGTAAAAATGTTCCATATAAAGTGACACCAAGGCAGGCGTAAACGGCGCCACGGTGAAGTTTATCGAGTATACCTCGTCCACCAATACGTTTCTTTTGCATCTTGGAAAATAACTTTACAAGTTTCCTATGTATATATTTTTTTATTTCACAGTCCTTACTGTTTAGGTGTTTTGTAACCTATAATGCCCGCACGGCTATAAAAACATATGTTTTTATCGATAAGAGAGAGTTTTCGATAACTAAGGGATATTAATAAGGTCTATATCAAGGTAGATATACAATAATTTGCCAAAACAAACAGATTCACAAAATTTTTTACACAAATTCTTGTAGAAAATGTTAATAAAAGTATTGCCAAACAAGCTCTTCGAAATTCGGAGATTTTCATTTATAAATTTTTTAGTTCAACATTTTTGATATTTATTTGGTCTATATTTAGACAGATGGTTGAAATATGGTATATGAATAAGGGTAATAAAGGGCTAAGCAGAATGCTCGCGTTGAGCCATCCGTTGCGTTATGTGTTATCGAAAATACAACAACCACAAGGAAACGATAACAAAAACGCTCGATGTTGATGTGCGCTGCGCTTCGGAGTTAAATATATTTTAACTTTTTGCGTGCGCTAACGCGATAACAAAAAACGCTCAACGCGAACATTCTGTTTAGGTGGGGATTATTCAAAAACAGATGTATCTTAATGGTTTATCTCTATAAATTAAAAAAAAATTTCAAATTTTTGAGTACAGCATCTGAACATACGCTATCAAAATTCATTCCTTTTTGTCTGTATGAGAAAATATTAGCATATATAAGGGAATACCTTCCAGAGTAATGTATTTCCGATGCAATGAAATGTTGAATTCAACAAAAACATCTTCCCATATAAAAATATCGATGTGTCTTTACAAAATCAAATGTTTAACCATCGATAAATATCGATAAGTCGTTTTGATTTCTAGATCCCTAAATGCTGCTTGTTCTTCTTCCTCTTGCAATTCGCATCGAAAATATTTTTGCAACGCCACGCAATGTCGGGTCTTAATTTAACAGTAAAAGTGCATCCTGTAGTGCTCTTCCAAGTTGTGGATGCCTATGAAAGACGTAATGCAGATTCCCATCGTGTTATTGGCACCTTATTGGGTAAGGATTGAGGGAAAAAGTGTGAAATTGTGAAGGGTGTAAACACGCTGTTTTCTTTGCAGGCTCTGTCGACAAAGGCGTTGTCGAAGTGACGAATTGCTTCTGTGTACCTCACAAGGAACACGATGACCAAGTCGAGGCTGAACTTAGTTATGCTTTGGATTTGTATGACTTGAATCGTAAAGTAAATCCCAATGAAAATGTTGTGGGTAAGTAAACATAACCTCAATTTGTGCGCATATAAAAACAACGAATGTTTAACGTCACTAATTTCGATTTCAGGTTGGTGGGCAACTGGCAACGAAGTTACCAATCACAGCTCCGTCATTCACGAATACTATGCCCGTGAGTGCAACAACCCCGTTCACTTGACCGTTGATACTTCTTTGCAAGGTGGTCGTATGGGTCTCTGTGCCTATGTCTGCATTCCATTGGGTGTTCCTGGTGGTAAGACCGGTTGTATGTTCACCCCTATCCCCGTTGAAATGACCTGCTACGAACCCGAGACTGTGGGATTAAAACTGTTGCAAAAGACCATTGGCAGCTCTGCACCACACCGTAGCAAGACAGTATCGCCTATGTTGGACTTGGCACAAATCTCTGAAGCCTCCACCAAATTGCAAGGCCTTTTGGAACTCATTCTGAAGTATGTTGAAGATGTTATTGCTCACAAACAGCCACCAGATAATGCTGTCGGTCGCCAATTGTTGGATCTCATCCATTCGGTGCCACACATGACCCATGAACAATTCACCCAGATGTTCAATGCCAATGTTCGTGATTTGTTGATGGTCATCACTCTATCCAATCTTATTAAGACACAACTGCAATTGAATGAGAAATTGACTTATTTGCCAACAAATTAAGCGGGGTGGAGAACATTAATTTATAATATTTGTATTTTTTGTAACAAGAAAAAAGAACAGTAAAGGACGTTACGCGGGAGGAGGAAGTTGGCTTAAGTGTTTTTAGTGGAAAATTGTAAAAAACCGCGAGATAAGAGAATGTATTATCTTATGTATAAACAAAATAAATTTTGTATGCACTTTTGTCCACTTCACAATTGCAGTTGTTTTATTGATTTTAATGGAACAATGGGAACTCTGAATTGGAAATCTTTAAAAATTTATTTTTTCATCTATTTATTTATTTCAAATATTTGCGTCTACTGATATAATACTTAAAATATAGAAAAGTACTCCTAAAAGAACACCGTAGAATTTTACATTTTGGTTATGTTGCCTATAACAGCTTTTGTGGTCGCCACAACAGGTTGTTTAAGGGCTTCCATGGTGGAATGTACGGCAGCGGCTCCATTACTGGGAACATGGAAGAAATATAACATAAAACCGGCGGCCAATAGGAAATGGGCACCGAGTATGCCAATTATTAGAAATAGGGAATATTTAGAATTTCTCAAAGCTGGTGTAAGAACAGCAATTAAAACTGAACCGGACAACAATGCAGCAGTTATTACCAGTAGCCACTGAAGTATGGAAAGCTGTATGATAAGAATAAAAATTATTATTTCTATATATAAAGTTGAATTGGATTATATCGTTATATACCTGAATAACCCATAGAATGGAAACAGGAATGTAGATGGCCAAAGAGTAGCCATAAACGCACATTAAACTTAGAAGGGATGGTGTATAATCAGCCTGGAAAGAAATACAAAATGGAAATTTTGGAATGTAATAATAACTTGTAGTAAATTTATATTTAACAAAATTAAATTGAAATAACCATTCCATACAAAAAAACATTAACCATTATGTACACATTTATCGTTTGTCATTTAGTTAATTTTCTATTATGGGCGTTATCGGTCCAATTATTAGTGCCGCTTCCAAATAGTAGTAAAATCTAATTTTGTGTACATGCAATTATTATTCAAGTAGTCTGCAAGTGTCAGTTCTAGTTTTTGGTAATGGCCCTTATGACAGTTTAATAAATTTTTCGGTATGTTCCAAGGACCATATTTGTTCCAGTTTCCATATAACCTTGTCGTGTCGTTTTCTTATTTTGAAGTTCCAATCTTTAGAGAAATTAAAAGTATTTTTCCATGTTTTGGAATAGCCCATATACAATTTGTCAGCAAATATTCTCCACTTATGTTTCTCACTGGGTTAGATACCTCTTCGCAAAATCACATAAAATTGATGATTGATTTTCTAATGTTTCGAGTTTTTCATATGAGAAAGCCGAATTTAAATCCTTTATTATTTATTTTACTTACATTTTCCGTTTCAAGTCCCTCCTGCAATGGCTTTAGGCTGTACTTGAACACAGCCCATAAAGCACCAGGCAAGAAATTCACATAAATAAATATACAGGTGGCTGCATAAGATACCAAATGGAAATTGTAACGCCATTGATAGTTATCGCTTTGGTGCTGCAGATAATTGGCTATATTACCACTGATGGCAATACTGAAAATCTACAAAACAATAACTTTTGGTTAACAACATATCTGAAAGCTATTGCGTTGTCAATCTTACCAATGTCGTTGTTATCCAAAATGGTCCATACAAATCGGGATTTAGACCAATATGTGATTTAAGATAGTTACTTGGTGCTCTTTTGGGTATCATCGAATTGGCTATGCGTTCCAATACCATATATGTATCGACATCAAAGAATTTTTGATAATATTCAATTGTTAGGAAAGATGTTTTGCTCGGTGTTGCTGTAGCAGGTTCAGGCAAGCCTGTAGCTTTTCCGCCACCACCTCCTCCGCCACTCGATGACATGCCACCGGATAGTATATTTGCCGAATTACTCATGTCGTAAATTAAATCGGACAATGGATCTCCACGTTGACGACCACTCTGTCCAGAGCCGGATGAATGTGTTGGAGAATTGACATTTATTTGGGCTGGTGGACTACTAGTGCTGGGTGTATTACTGTAGTCTTTGAATTGTAACAAGTCTTCAGACATTTTGCTGATTTACCTAAAAGTAAAAAGGTTATTAAATAAAACATATAAAGCTGCTGCACAAAGGCTGTCGGTAATCTACGTAATTTTCATATTAAAAATAAACAAAACAAAATGTTATTCTTTTTGTTTTTACGTTTCATATCTATAATAATAATCAAAAGGAGGGATATGGTATTTTTTTGTTCCAGGACATCTTTTCATCCGCCCAAAAACACAACACCACCCTCACTGCGTAGGACATTTTGTTAAGTTGGCAATTGGAAAATGCCCAATGACTCAGTTCCATATTTCCATTTAACGATTCCCCACATCATTACCTCCGTTGGGAGCCGTGAATTTGTATTTTTCTGATATTTTTATGCACAAAAATAATAAGATTTAACTAATATTTATGTACTTTTCTCCTTAACACGTCAATAACAGAGCAAAACTGTCAGTTATTGTTGACATTTGGATTTGTCATGCATTTTGTTGTTGCATGTCGTAATAGAGTAGTACTTTAATACAAACGTATGTCAGCAGTTAATGGGGTCGGTTGGTAATGACACATTTCAGCTGATATATAAGTTGTGTTCACTGTCTAAATCCAAACAAAATAGTTTTTTTGTGATATTTGTTTATTTTAATATTGGTATATATTTACGTATAATATTTTATTTAATATAAATAATAAATTAATACATAAAAAACATGTTCAATAGAACTTGCGCTTAAATAAGTTTATATGTCTCAACAAAAGAGAGTGTTTTTCTAATTGGGCTGTGTTCCCGTAAAAAACACTCAAGTGTTTTTTTAAATTTATAAAGATACAATTCAAAACAATCTCGATTAAAAGAAGATTATTTTAGGTCTTGGAACAGATCATTATTTAAGAAATGATGAATATAGGTATGATGCAATAAGAAGATGGAATTAGTTTAAGAAAAATCATTTCTGTAGTGTCATATTTCGTTCCTGAGAGAATTTAATATTTTGATAAGATTTGCAGCTTATAAGTTTTTTTTTTCAACTAGTAAAACTTTAAGAGAATACTAACTAAAACTTTTTGTTCGAGACATTTGGCCGAGTAAAAGTGGTAAACAAGAATGCCATCTTTTGATTCGTTGTCGTGCCGATTTTTAATAATAGCTATCTGACTTTGAAAATCGAAAATCAGATCGAACGATGTTGGCATCTTTTAGGGGAATGCGAAAATGCCAGAATCAGAAAGTTCTAAGAATTTTTAAAAAACTTTTAAAAATAAAAACGGAAATAATAAATTATTGAATTGTCACCTACCAAAAGCCCAGAAGGTTGGGGATTAAAAATTGTGAACGGTTTCTCCGAGGAATCTCTCTTTGGAGTATTACTAACTTTCTTAGCTGGCTTGTAACAGAACATTTGTTCCATAAGAAAAAGATTTCAAGGTGCGTCGTTCTTGTGCTCTTCCAATTTCAAAGACCATATTTCGAAATGTTGTCTTCCACCTGATCATTCCATCAAACTCGTGACATTCCCCTTCAGCGTGAATTATTAGTTGGGTCGCATTTATATACCTTTTGTGATGGGGCTTACAAATACCATAGTAGCATCTGCTGGGTAACACTGTTCTTCTCCGTTATTAGTTTTGTTTATGGTGATACCGAGGTGTATAAAATCGAATCTGTAGTAGGCCTTCTCGCATTTACTTCCAGTCCCACTTTGGCCGACTCCATCTCACATTGTTCAAAGGTTACCGCTCGCAATGTTCGACCCATTATGTCGATTTCGACGGCGTATGTGAGTTAAATATGTTGTTTGATGTACAAAGTACCATCTGTTCACGTTTGCATCTCGTATGACCTTTTCCAACAGGTTGTTAAAAAGGTCACACGCCAAACTGTCACCTTGTCTGAATCCTCGTTCGGCATTGAAGGTCTCCGCGAGGTCCTTTCCGAACATAACTGCTGACCTTGTGCCAGTTAAAGTTATCCTGCATAATCGTATTAATTTTGCGGGAATGCCTAACGCAGACATTGCTTTAAACACCACTGAGCGGGTTGAGCTGTCGAATGTGGCTTTGGAGTCCACGTAAAGTTGGAATGTTTCGATGTATTTTTCGTGGCTCTTTTCCAGGATTCGGCACAGTGTGAAAATCTGGTCTATAGTGGATTGCCACGCTGAAGCCGCATTGACCATTGGCTTCAATTTTTGCATAAAGATCTCCTAGCAGCATTTTAATGTCATGACCAGGGCAGCGGTCATATGCTGTTTCCAGGCGCTCATAAAATATGTCTTTGGTCGGTTCAGCTTTGTCTTCCGTCGGAGCATTGGCGCAAATAACTGATGTAGAAGAACTGACTGATGTGGAATAACTTCGATTTTATAGGGATTATAGCGATTCCCTAATCTACTGGAGTAAATCTGGAGACGAGGTTTTTTATTCTCCTGTTAACCATAAATCTGCAGTCAAATTCATGTCTTGTTTCATAGCATCTATAATAAAGCGCGAAATTATCTGATAAGCCTGGGCACTGCCCAGTGGGCAGTGCCATATGTGGAAATGCCACACCGAAAACTCCTCAAAAATTTGAACTTCAACGGTGGTGTAATTTACGACTAAAGGGAGAAACACATAAGAGGACTTCAGGTATGGGATGTTAAGTTCCTATAGTGGGTTTAAATTGTCTATTCCTTTGAATATATGTCAAATAAACCCTTATAAAGTAGGTTAACCCGGTAAAAAGTTCTAATGTAAATGCTGTATAACGTCCTTACCACTGCAATTTTACACTTCACTTTGTATATTCAAAAATAATTTTGTTACATGTTTTAACTTTTTATTTAAAATATTTATAGCTCTAAATTCTTAAAAATTAAGTACAAAATTCGAGATATTACCTCTCATCATCTTTCCCTAAATATGACATTAATACCATTCTTTGATTTCAAAGTCATTTGTGACATCAATATCAATTTTTCATTGGGATCTTTTAGCGTCACTTCAAAATTTTCCAATAGCCGAACACACATAATTTTCATTATCAGCAGTGAATATTTTCGACCAATACACACATGTGGACCACCCGAAAAGGGTATATAAGAAAATTTAGGCAATCGTTGATATTCCATTCGAGTGAAACGTGAAGGTTTAAATATGAAAGGTTCCTCATACAATTGACTGTCGTGACACAAGCCATACATGTTGATCCACAATGTAACACCTGGAGGATATAAACGTCCACCAATTTTGGTGGTCTTTGTTGTCTGACGTCCAGTCATTGGTACAATTGTATAGAGGCGTAAACATTCCTTAATGAACATATCTAAATATTCCAATTTATTGAGATCTGAGGTATTGGGAAATCCCTCATCCGATTCTCTACGAATGCTTTGGATTTCTTCAAGAAGTTTTTGTTGCTCTTGTGGATATTTTCCCAGACAATAGAGAACAAAACACATGGCTGCGGTGGTGGTATCTACACCCTGAAATAAATTTTTATTTTAGATTTATATTCGATGTGTATGGGGCTATTTTTACATACCGCAAATACAAAGGTATTCACTTCATCTCGTATCTCTTTTAGACTAAGTGGGTTTCCTTCAATGGTAGCAGTGAGCAATGTATCCAAGAGACATCTTTGTTTTTGTGTTGCCAATATTGTTTGATTTTCCTCCTGCTCCAGAAACTTTTGGCGTTCCAAAATCACAGAGTCCATAAGATTGTGTATTACGTTTATATATTTCACTAAGTCTTTATATCTTTGGGTGTTGTTGTAAATGAAATCGGGAAAGAGTAATGGATTTACCATGCGCTCAAATAGTAATTCACTTGTTCTGGAATTTGAAAATGAAGTAATTAATATTTTTGCGATATATTCGAATAGGTTACAGTGCTATGAGAATTACCTATGGAATGCATGTGTGTAGGGATGATTCTGATTTTTCTGCGTCTCCAAATTTTTCCCCATTAATGTGTCTGAAAATTATAAATAATTGAAGAATATTTTAATTTAACTTCCATATTCAAATTATATTTCAATGTACTTACCAATAATTGTATCCATTATACAGGCAAATAAATAATCCGATACTTCTATTGGTTGAGAATTCAAATCCCGTAATCTATCCACTAGTATATTAACATGTTGTATTATTGTATGTGTAAATCCATTTAATATATTCGGATGAAAGGCTGGACCCAATGCTTTTCGATGTAGTTCCCATTCTTTGCCTTCGCTAATCAACAATCCATTTCCAATGAAAATATTTAACATTTGAAAAGAGTCGGCCTTTTTTAATGTGGCGTCATTTAGGGCATCGCGCGTCTCCTGTGGACTGTGAAGAAATACCCACAGTTGTGGTCCCAACCATAATCGAAACGAATGCCGGTATGTTTCACGGCAAGTGTGTATGACATCTAAGAGTTCTGAAAATTAAAAGTAGACCTGTTTTATTAAAGAGAGTCATTTAGATCGTAGGAAATTCTTTTAAGATTTGATAACAGAAAATGTCCGTCATCCAGTCTATTGAAATCACGATATAAATCGGAACTTTCCGCCCTATTTTCATTATTTTTCAATAGAGGGGGGCTCTGAAGTGGTATTCCAGTTTTCTGGTGGAGTAGAGAAATGCGTATTTCTCGAATTTTCTTTTCTAATAAGCATAATCTCGTCGCGGACAACATATTTTTCACCAATTATTACTAATATTATCCTTTTGTACAAAATTTTATTAAAATAGTGTAAATTGAGAGAGCTATATTGAATCTTGTATTACCAAGTACTGAAAAATCCCAGTGGGAAAAGTGAGAACGTATTACATTGAAAATCGATTTAATAATACATTATAATCATTACTACATTATATAATGTATCCCATGGCATAATTATACAAGGTAGTCTCATATGTTTTCAATTTTTTCATGAAATAATTTATATTTATAAATATTTTTAAGTTCCCTTATAAATATAACATGTAACAACCATGGTAAAATCTTGAGTGAAATGTCCTGCTTTAGAAATATATTCTGTTTAATTTATTGAAAATATGCCAATCGACATACATTCGATTTTATGGAATTTATTTTTCATATTATTTAAAATTGATAGATGGATTCCACATCATAAAATTCTCAAATGAGACTACCTTCTGTAATTATGCCATGAATGTATCCGTAAGAGAAATCAAGAAAAGAATATAATTGAAACAAAGTTACATTATTGAAGATATTATATAAGATACATTATATATTATATCGCAAAAGTAACGTTTCTCAAAGGATACGATAAATAAAATTTCTTTGCATTTCCCGTTCGTTTACCATCGATTACTTTTTACTGTTTGAAGAATTATTCTTCTTAGTCCCAATTTAGATTAGGAGAGTTTACTTGCGGCAAGTATTTGTTTGCGGAAGAGAAGGGGAAAGGGGAATAGAAATTGAAATTGAATTGCTCGTACCGGCAATTTTCTGGCAATTCGTTTTGTGTTATTTTGTTCGTAGTGTCAGTAATCCAGAATATTATCACAAAATGTCAAAAAAATATTTTTGAAACCGAATTGCCTTGTATAGACGCATGAAGCAAGTTCAAAAGAGGACGATAATCAGGACTTACTCACAAAAAAGGCATACCTTATGGTAGCATTTGTCAACAAATATAAATTACACCTCTACCTTGAGGCTTACAGGAAATCCGATAGAAAGGGACAGGCGTATGTAAATCAGACGATTACACACTGTAGCTGATAGCTGTCTTCAAACGAAACATGAATTTGACTGCAGATTTATGATTAACAGGATAATAAAAGACCTCGCCTCCAGATTCACTCCAGAAGATGAGCGAATTGCAATAATCCGTATAAAGGAGAAGTTCTTCTACACCCGTTTTATTTGAGCCCATGCTCCGACCGAAGACAAAGATGAGCAGACCAAAGGCATACTTTACGCGAACGTAGAAACAGCATATGACCGCTGCCACAGGTCATGACATTAAAATTCTGCTATGAGTTATTAATGCAAAAAAAAGGAAAGGGAGAAACCGTCGGAAAATTCAGCGTCCATGAAGAAACATCCGAAAACGGCATGATGTTGATCGATTTCGCGACAGCAAAAAATATGATAGTTAGCAGAACCAGATGCAAGCATCTCGATATACACAAGGCCACATGGATTTCTGTCGATCAAGCAACAAGAAATCAAATTGATCATGTTGAAGGCTCGATTAATTCGAGGAGCGAATATCGATTCGGACCATTACCTCGTGACAGCCAAGGTTCGCACTCATGTTAATGTAGCAGCAAAGGTGCGGTTTTTTATTGTATACCACCTAGCCAAGATGAGTCAGAATAAATATTAGTCGGCTGAAGAATAATAAAGCTGCTTTCAACAGCACTATTCCCTCAAAGGTGTTAAAAGCCATGTCTGCGTTCGGTATTTCTGCAAAATTAATATGGCTATGCAGGATAACTGGCACAAGGTCAGTAGTTAAAATTGAAAAGGACCTCTAGGAGCCCTTCATTATCGTACGAGAGTTCAGACAAGGTGACAGTCTATCGTGTGAATTTTTAACATCCTGCTGGAAAAGGTCATACGAGATGCAAAGGCTCAGCATAATGGATCAAACATTTCGAGAGGTAACAGCTATTTTGAACAAATTGAGAAAGAGTCTGCTAAAGTGGGTTTGGCAGTAAACGGGGAGAAGACCAACCTGATGGTATCAACGCGCAAGACGTCCAGTAGACGCGGACAAACTGTGGAACTTGAAAACTATGAAAATTAAGTAGTCAACGATTTTATGTACCTCGGTACCGCCTTAAATAAAACTAATGACATCAGTTTTGAAATTCGGAAAAGGATAGTGATGGCCAACTACTACTATGGCCTGTGTAAGCAATTAAACAACAAGGTCACCTCTCGCTAGACCAAACTCGCACTCTACAAGACCTGATACTACCCGTGCTGTTATATGGATCGGAAGCATGGGTTCTTCCGCAAGCAGATGAGGCAGCTCTTGGCATATGTGAGATAAAAATTATCCGAAAGATCTATGGGCCGATCTGCATCGACGGTGAATATCGAATGAACCATTAGTTGTACCATCTATTCTCGTACATCGACATAATCAGACGCATTGAGCTGCAGCGACTACATTTGCTAGATCATGTTGTGAGAATGGATGAGGATGCCCCAGCTTAAAAGGCATATACAAGTGAGTCAATTCGATGGAAAATCAAGTGGAGGACAACATTTTGGAACATGGCTCGACATATGGAAAAAAGGAAAAACATGTAATTTGTAAGTTGCTGTAGCCAACCTTGTACCGTACTTAACAGCGATTTCACTTGTTTTTTAAATGCCTCTTTATTCCCTCAGCCTAATGACAATGAGTGTATATTGCCAAATCCGTTTCGGACAATTTGGAGTGCATTCACAAATTTGATCAACATTTTAAACACTTGTAAATTTTATTTGAAGTGAATGGAGTAGCTGATTTGATACATTCATTGCACATCGTAAGATTTTAACAAACTTACATTAAATCTGAAGATGGGATCTATAGGGAAACTTCAACTGTGACTTTCCCACAGATGATGATTTTAAATTTTTTAATTCAGGACAATTGTTTAACAAACCTCTGGGAAGCGTACCAAAGCTAAATTGAGACACCTACGTATATAAATACACACAATCCGTGGCGCCCAATAGTGTGGACGTTTGTAGGCGTCCAACACTTATTATTTTACCAAGGAGACAAGGAAGGAATTGAAAATTATCGGTTTAATGTCCGATGTATTTAGCATTCGCTTTTAATACAATCCAAATGCGATTTAATGTTCTTTGGATTTTGAAATTTTGTCATATTTTAATATAGTATTTATTTAAATTTTTTTATGTACATACAAATATTTTGTTTCTTATAATACAAGTTATAAGAACGAACGACTGCATTCTACTTTAACCTGTATACATATCTAAACAGTCTATTTTGACAAAGTATTGTTTCCGAATTACTTCTTCTTTTCTATTATTTTTGTTATTTTTAGAACTCACTTTCCGGTTTCAATTTTGTTATAAATTGCACATTCCCTAGACATGGCACAGACCAGGGACCCGGTAAACGAATTCCACACAAAAATATTTTATACCAATGTACGAGAAAATAGACTGCTGCAAAAACAACACAAAATACTAAAACTACCGACATAATCGTAGACAATATCGATCGAAATTGTTATAATCAGTAGCAGATTTTTGATAATGATTGCGATAAAACAATCAATCCCGCTCTGGATTATTTAACTACTACTGTTTGTTGTTAGCTCATAAACAGGGCCGTGTTCCATAGATTGCTAATTATGAAAGCAATGGAATAATTTATTGAACCCGTCGTCCGTTCTGTTGGCGAGTTTATTTGCAACTGAAAATGTTTTTGTTTGCATATAACGTTAACAAATGGCGTATAATCTCTCTATGTCTCTCTTTTGCTAGTTGTTTTTTTTTTGTACTATCTTCGGTTGATTATCACAACAGTATAAAGTCGCTGAACTTTTTGCTGGAGAGCTACATTCGATGTACGTACATAAAAATAACATTTTCTATATTTGCTTTTACATGGATTAGGATCAAATGTCATGTATTTATCCTCCATAATAAGATATTAGGTATATTTTGTATTGTTATACATTTAAAATTTCACAAAGTACACGTATATATTATTGAACCTTAAAATTTTATTATTTTTTGAGATTCTTTAAATTGCTTTTTAAGTTTGTCAGTGAGTGAAAAAAATTGGTAGTGAACATGAAAGCTGCAACTCAAAATAACAGTTAGGAAAATACCAAAGTCGGACGGGACCAATTATAATTTCAGGAAATCGTAAGAAAAATGTCGCAATATTTGAAAAAAAAACTTAATACATTCATTCTCAATATCTTATGTTGTGCATTCGGATAAGCAGTGGCTATTTGGTGCACCATTTTGAGGAAATCGGACACTCCTAGATCCACTTTTAGTATAAAGATCTTAATATCTCGACCTAGTAATGAGTGACCACAATATATAATGAAATTTGTTTTTTTTTTTGATGACCGATTAATATTTAGAGGATCAAAGGGACCAATATTTTTGTCCTGTTTTTTAAGTCCCGAATAATATGAAATTATACACAGGAACGAGGATCTGACCAACGAATAGGGGATGATAGACATCAAGCAACGGCTCTGATTGACAAGAACATGTCAAAGCATAGTTTTATTTTGGTCCTTCTTTCATCTCAATTGTGGACACTGATCTCCCCGCGGTGTCACTTCTCATCACCCGTTGAAATAGTGACCTGATATGTGCCGCGTTCACCCATAAGAACTATAAAAAATGGGTTGAGAGGTCGGGTTATTTGTCCACACTCGGAAAATTATTACTTCCAACAGGACTATGGAAAATCTTACAGTGAGCAGCAAAAGTCATGGTACCCCAAACAAATTAAAAAAATATTCTGTAATTCTTCAAAAAGTAATTCACAAAATTTCAAATATATATTTTTATTTCATGTATTCAATCCTATACTACAACAAATTAAAATAATATATAATTTTTTATAAAACTAAATCGACATAGTGCCAAGTACATATTTTTGCACAGCATAAGTCTTGGTACCCCTGGAGAAAAATAATGAATTATTTAATATTACCTAATTTTTACAATTAAATTGACTTACCTAATATTTGGTAGGATATCCCTTGAGTTTTAAAACATCATTCAATCGTTCGGGCATTGAGTATACAAGTTTTTTAGTGTAGTCCGGCGATATTTTACCCCATTCTGTCAGAAGTATTTCTTTGAGTTGGGCCTTACTGGAAATTGTATGATTTCGGATTCGTTTATTAAGATGATCCCATAGGTGCTCAGTTGGATTTAAATCGGGGTTATGTGGAGGTGTTATCAGCAAGTGTGGTGTATTGTATACGATCCAATTCTTAACGTCAAAAGCAGTGTGTTTTGGATCATTGTCCTGTTAGAAGTAATAATTATCACGAATGTTGAGTTTTTCAGCACTTGGATTCAAATTTTGTTTCAAAATATTCATGTAAACTGTTTTATTCATTATTTCCTCAATGAATACCAAATTGCCAACACCAGTTGCTGACATGCATCCCCATACCATTACTCCACCCTTCCGTGTTTTACTGTTTTCCGAGTATTCTTTGGATTGAGCTCTTCGCCTTTTTTCCGCCACACCAAAGAGCGTCCATCCGACCCAAATATGTTAAATTTCGAATTTTTCCCAGAACTCATTTGGCTTGTTTTATAATCATTTGAAAAATCGACACGCTTCTTTCTGTTTGTTTTGTTAACAAGTGGGTTTTTTTTTCGGACAGTGCGAGCATTGAATCCATACTTCTTGATGCACTTACGTACCGTGTCTGCTGAAACTGCTTTCCTAATTGATTCTTTTAAGTCTGCAGGAGCGCTGGTAAATACCTATTTTTTAATAATATATTAAATTTGTCGTTCTTCTCTGATGTTGAGCTTCCTGGGACGGCTTGATCGCAGTTTATTTTCAATTATATTTTCTTTTTTGTATCGATAAACCACCTTTTGGACTGAAGATTTGGTTCTGTTTATCATTTTACTTATTTCGGAATAGGATTTTCCCATTTCAGAGATTTTAATGCACAAATCGGAAGGGAAATTATTTTTGGTCTCACCATCGGAAAATTCAGCTTCCATGAAGAAATAGTTAACAGCAAGATTCAAGCATTTCGATATACACAATGACACCTGGATTTCTCCCGGCCGAAAAACGAGAAATTAAATCAATCATTTTTTATTAATTTCTCTTTTGAGATGAGCTACATGATCGAAGTTGCATTGAAAAGGAAAGTCTGAGAGATACTACATTCTCAGCATTATGCGACGCACTTCGCCGTTGGTTAAGCTACTCATCAGGCATATTGAGCAATGTGGCTTACAAATGTCGTCACTTCATAAGTTGTATTTATGTCGAATATTGTTGCGAAATTGTATCTACGAATTAAATTCAACCGTGTCAAGATTCTGACATCACACCAGAACATTCCTTTTCAGAGCAGATTTTTCTTGTAGTGACGGATTTTTTTTCATACAGACTACAATATTTTTCTTCAATGGTATAAAACTGCATATTGTGGAACCTTAGGAATATAAGGAGGTGGCTTTGAACGCTAAGGCGTCGGACAACAATCAACAAATGCCATTGGAACCAGGGTTCAAATCCCAGCCGGGCTCAAGCTGAATTTTTGAGTTTTATGTATTTTTAGTGCAAAGGATCATTCATGTAAATGTTGTTATTAATTTATTTTTCTCATGTTTTGGTAGTCATCCAGTGTTTTAGACGTTCGATCGATCCGAGGAGCGAATATCGATTCGGACCATTACCTCGCTGCAGCAAGGGTTCGCTCCCGTCTTAAGGTAGCAGCGAAGGTGCGCTCTCATGTAACAAGGAAAATCGACGTCGGAATGCTGTAAACACAACATATAGCAGAAGCCTTCTCCGCTCAACTTACCCAACTGCTTGACGAAAGCACTCCTTGTCCCGATAATAATATAGAAGTACAATGGCTAAGAATTCCCCACTCCCTACAAACTGCAGCATAAGTAACACTTGGTTATCAAAGACCACCATCGAGAAACCCGTGGTACGACCAGGAGTGTCGTAACGCTACTGATGTGAAAAACGCAGCGCAGGGCAATTCTGGAGAAGAATAATACACCAAACCGAAGGCTTTGAGATGAAGAAAGAAACCTGGTGACAGATACAGACAACTTGTTGAGGATCTGGAGGGAGCATTTTAGAAACTGCTTTTGGTATCAAATAGTGGCGGTGAAGAAGATACCCCAGAACCAATAAAAGATGACGGGGTATAGTGTATACCACCTAACCAAGATGAGATCAAAATAGCAATCAATCGGTTGAAGAATAATAAGGCAGCAGGTGCTGATGGGTTAACGTATACGTATTTTCTAAATTGATTAATGGAAATATGTATTTTGTCAAAAATCTAATCGTTTAGGGTGGGTTTTCTACGTATGTATGATACGTCGGAAATGTATGTAATTTAAGTCACTGTTTCTGACGGACCATCTCTGAATTTCACAATTAGTATTTAGACCATGTTTATAACCTACCACACTACAGTACAGGGTAAGATTGCCAGATTTAGAGCACAATTTGAAGATGTTACCACGTGCCACTGGGGCTTCAAAGTTTTGAAAATCTTGATTTTTCATGGAATCTAACAAAAACATGCTTAATGTGTTCTTACTTCCTTGTAATATGACTTCATAAATGTACGACACATTTCTTTTAAAGTCAATGTTATATACCCCTGATTTAACGTGAAAAAGGCAATAAGTCCACGTTTTCTCGAAATTGAGATTTATTTGTAGTGATATGTAAAGGCGCTGAGGCCAATTTATCACATTTTACTGCTTTTTGTCTCTACTGTGAAATTGTAAAATATGGACTTATTGCCTTTACGTGTTTAGCCAGAAATATGTGTAAAGCCTAATATTAATACTGAACTTCAGGTTTAGTAAAATAATCTGCCTACATTCAATACACCTTGTAATATTATTGTGGTTGTATTACTAATAGGCTTAACAAACACCCCAATTCCATGTAGTTGAAGGGCAATGACATTCATTTCAATTTCATTTTCACTTGTTTCTTACTATACCCTGCAAAAGACGAAAAAACAACAACTTTTAATACAAACATGACAACATTGCATTACATCAATCAATTTAAAATTGTGTATGAGAATTCATTTCGTATGAAGACTTTAAAGTTCTCAATTGTCTTAATAGATTGATGTAATGCCGTTTGACCCAATTACTGCTGTGCAACGTGCAATGAGTTTTTGTAGTAGGTAAACGACATTTTATTAATTGGATGATCTAGTTTATAAAGTAAGATTTAAGTAAAAATATACGCCATTGAGGTAATAAATATTTAGGCAATAAATATTGCTGCCTTAAACTGTGGATATAACGAACTAATTTACTTTGTCCCTACTAGTTTGCTAATACCGTACTTATTTTTTTACAGCACATAGTATGTCATAGGAATTCTTTTCTTTTTTCGCATAGGAATTCTTTTGTCTGCAGGTAGGTCAATTTCAAATATGGGGTATATCGGTCCACGATTTGGGGTAGTCCGCATATAACGAA